TCTTACGCTGAATTTCTTCAGAATTCGTATTCCTTGGTCCAAGCTCCTCATTTGACAAATGAGGAGGCAGAGGGCCAGGGAGGGGAAATGATTTGTCCCAGTGACAGAACTTGATAGACAACGGAAGGAAATGGCTTGAACCAAGACCTTCTGGATTGCCCATCTCATATCTGTCCCTTTGTGCTCATAATGATGCCCAATACAATGACCAGTTCCCAGTCTGTGCCCCATACATGTCAGTTGAAGTAAATTAGGGGGACGTCAGTGTATCAAGGAATAGTTTGACTTCTCTATTTAAATGGCAAAAATGGAAGACTCAGGAACAAATGCCATTTCTGCTCTGGATGTAGGCTGATGTCTTTATTTGGCACTGGGGAGTGAGGCATATCTTTTCCACAGAGTGCTGGCATGAGCTGTAAGGGTCGCCCCAAGGAAGGGCCTGTGAACCCAGACACACCACACTGAGGTGACGCTGGAGAAGTGTTCTGGGGAGTCTTTTCTCCCTGGCTGCCTATAAATAAAGCATAATTTTCAGTTGAAATATGGTCTATGGGTTTCTTCTTTCCTGACATTTGGGAATTCCCTGAGGCCCCCAGAGTTGTGCCGCCAGAAAAGGCCATTAACTCCCACAAACTCAGGGGTAAGTGCTGCTTCCCAGCCAAGGCTCATAAAATTTCAAACGAAACCCTTCCGAACCCAGGAAGATCGGCTTGGTTGACAAGAAACACATGGGCAGGGCCAACACATGGAATGCATTTTGCTCAGAACAGCTTCTTTTGATGATGTTTCCAAGGACTGAGACCACAGCTCTCGGCACCTTCATGGCAAGTACTCAGCTCTTGTCTCTCTGGGCCTTGGCATCTTGTTAGGACACCTAGTCTCGGGGACTGCTGACTCTCAATACCTTCATTGTGCCACAGCATGGTCCCTGGCCCTTCAGGCACAAACACAAAGCACATTGTCACTATCTTAACCAGACCGTTTCCTCCTCCACATGGATTCAGAGCCACAGGTGTGGGCTCTCCTTGTGGGCGGACAGCCTGATGTGGAACGTGCATCTTCACTTGCACCAAGGGCCGCTTCCCTGCTTGTTCCACCTCCCCAGTAAGCCCCAGGCTCACAGTGAGTGCCTTCTCCATGGGATGCTCATTGCACCCTGACAGGGCCCTCCTACCTCATCTATTCCTCTAGCCCTGCCTCAGATGCCATCACTGCTTTCACTGACTGAGTGCCCTACCCACAGATGGCCCATGGAACATGTTTGTCAGTCCCTTCATCCCCACCCTCAGGCATCCCCTAGGTCTTCCTCACAACCTAGAATGCTTGGTCTCCTCCCTATCCTTTCTTTTCTACCTCATGCACTATTCTAGGAAAGTTTCCCGAATTGGCCTCTCCTCTTTTTTTTTTTGGATGTTGTTTATTTTGCTGTGGATTTTGAAGGAGGAAGAATACGTCTGTCATTGTTACACTTTCATTCTGTTTAAAACCCTTCCAGATGCTTTACTGGGGCTCTGTCAGCAGGATCCCCATGTCTGCTTCCCAAATACAGGGGCCCAGATAATTGCCTTTCTCCTTTCATTTCCAGTCCTCCAGTCCTCCGGGCACATCACAGTTACTTGAATGCAAGTGGATAAAACTTTAGGACATTTGACCACATTTATCTTCTAAAAATTTCTTCTGTTTCACTGCAGTTAGTCATTGTGAATGGATGGATCAGTGGATGGACAGATGGATGGCTAGATGAATGGATGGCTGGTTTAAATAAATAGATACTTCTACCAGGCCCTAGATCTTGTCCAGCCCTAACTTCCTACATTGGGTACAAGAACTGTAAATAACAAAGAAAGTAGTTGTACCTTTCTCTGGCCATGAGGCCAGTCAGTTTTTCTACCACAGGAAACTGCCCAGCCTCTAGGTTCAAATAATAATGTCTTTTCTGTTCTGAGAAAAGCAATCAGAGGTCCTGGCCTTGTTCCTTGTCCTTGACTGTGTCTGGCCACCACTCCCAGCAAAACCCAGGAGACCCTTCCTTAACTAACTCAGCTCTTCTCCCTGTCAACCACCAACTGCTTCCAGGCCTCCACCAACACCCACCCAAAGCCTCCAGTGCCTCGGTTTTGCCTTCCTATTTTTACATACAGCAGCAATCATTTTAAATATTTTTCTGTTGGCATTTTCTTAAGAATGAGGAGGAGTTGGGGTGGAGAAGTTAAACATCAGTCGTAAGCAGAGAAGAGCACATAATTTTTAAAAAAGGAAAAAAAAAAAAAAGAGCCACTGCCCAGAGGGCTTGCAGGGTAAATTAGATACACAGAGAAAGTGTGACAAGATGGGGCAGGCACTCACTGGGAGACAGGTGGCAGCCAGGGATAACTGTCTTTGTTCTGGACAAGCCAGCCTGTCACCTGCCACCTTCGAGGGATCTCAGGGGAAGGCTCAAGGAAAAGGTGAAAAGAGAGCACAAAAGTAGTAATGAATGATTTTAGATAATAAGTGGAAATGAAAGCATGACTGAGAGAGGCCCAGACACTTTGCTTCTGGTTCCTTTCCTCCTTATATTCCTACAGGTGAGAAAGGAGGATACCAAAGAGTTTCCCACTCCCACAAGAATAAGAGAAAAAGGCAGGCATGAGGACCTGGCAGGGATATCCAGAATTTAACACTGACTTTGCTCTCTCTCTTTCTCTCTCTCACTCTCTCACACTGTGTGTGTGTGTGTGTGTGTGTATGTATGTGTGTGTATATTTACTGTTCCAATGTTAGTTTATTCATCTAACATATGTTGGTGTGCTGAAGTTTTGTGAGTGGGTAACATCTTCCAGCCTCACCCCCGCCATAACCCTGCAGTATTCTCTTTTTGTAAATTCCAGGACTAGAGCCCAAAGGCATCTCAGTCCAACACATCTTGTCACATCAAAATAAAAGCAAAATTGAAGCCAAGACATCATGGAACGCCTCATAAAGCTCTCCCAACAGCCAGTCCATGCTCAAATCTCCCAACATAAAATTGCTGCTGCTAAGACAATTCTCTTGATATGCATGTTGAATAGGAAGGTCAAGAAGGGGGGGGGGTTTAATTTTTTCGCTACAAGAAATTACATCAGTTCGAGGAGCGATATTGGAGGAGAGTGTCTTTAGAGAGGTTTATAAAACTTGGCAAAGTCTATCCAATGTGGGACTCAATCCTGGGTCCATTGAGGACACAACAGGTCCTGTGCTGAAGACCCACAATGCCCACCTCTCTCATGTGAATGCCACACATGAACGGCACCCCTCCCGCCTTGGATCAGCAATTGTGAAATAGAGAAGAAACATGGCAGGCCATGAGTGCCCGAGTCTGGGCCATGGGTTCACCTCCCCACTGTACTTGCATCCTTTTCTTAGAGAGTCGCCCACGCCAGCACTTACTGAACCTCAACTACGCAGCAGAACATGACAATGTTATTTGGAACTGAGTTCTTTGTATTTCTACCTTTCTTCAGTGATTTAAAACTTGTTTAAGTTTTAAATCATCAGAGGCTGATTCTTCAGGAGCTATGGAAATAGCAGGACCCAGAGGGCAGCAAAAGCCATTCTTGGAGAGAAGAGATCCTCTCTCTGATTTGTAGGAAGGTGACAGCCTTCAGCTCCTTCCAAGCTCCTCCTTTGACATGGGGGATGGGAAGTGGCAAGACAAGGGCAAAGAAAGCAGCCTCCCTGGGGTGCCCAGGTCCAGGTTGCCAGCATCCAGAGCTGAGCCCAGGCTGGACACTAGACCCAAATCCTCCCTTCCTAACTGTTTTGAGGGAAGCAAGGCAGAGGCACCTTAAGCCGATGGTTCACACCCAGCATCTCCCACTGTGAGTAGGGAAAATTTGGGACAAGCCCTGATGTGTGCAGTGAAAGTTGTCTTTCTGGATTTGCAAGTAGATGAATAAGGTTGAGTTTTACAGAAAACATGTTTCCAAACACATTCGCCACAGGCCAAACATCGCTTCAGAGGAGCTTTATTTTTAGAAGAGCTTTAAAAGTATTTTCTTTATGGTACTTGAGACTAAATTCAGTCCCTGTGATGACTTGAAATCCCATTTACATAGACCTTCTGAGACTGGAGAGTCATTTGACAACTTCTCACCACAGCGGTGCTGCACGCTTCATGAGCACCAGAGGAAACGCACCTGGAAACTGGGAGTGGAGACGCTGGGAAACCTCGGGCAGCTACACTCATCCAATTCCTGCTTTTAATGTCTGACGGAAACTGCAAGTTCAGAGAACCAAGTTCCTATTTGGCTTTGTCACAATCTTGAGCGTGTCACAACTTTTCTAAATCTCAGTTTTCCTATTTATATAAGAAAGAATTGCAAAAGTCCATTTACTTCCTAACCCAGAAACCACAGACACACCTGAGACACATTTCATGGATCAGTAAGTCTGGGATTGCTTGAACATGAGTAAGGATGGAGTGAGGATTTAGCCGCATGCTGTGCCACCTTCTTCCCCATGAGTAGGAGAGAAAGCATTCCATCAGGGGACACTTTGGAAGTCACATGACCTTCCTAAATATCGCTGGGGTCTCAGGGACTTCAAGTCAGGATGCCATTATCAGGACCAAATCTTTAAAACTCACCCAAATCGATATGCTGTTGGCTGTGGGACATCCAGAAGACGTGGTAACTACCTCAGTGTCTTCCATGAAGACGTCTCACATGATCTGAAAACTCAGTCATGTTCCGAGGAAGTCCAGAGCTTACTAACCTTCCACCTCAGACTGCAGCACATTAGAGCCATTCTTTTAAACAATTATTTGTGTGTCTTCAAAATGTATTATCTTCTTCTTCTTTTTTTTTTTTTTTAAAGACAGAGTCTTGCTCTGTCACCCAGGCTGGAGTGCAATGGTATAGTCTCAGCTCACTGCAACCTCCGTCTCTCTGGTTCAAGCAATTCTCCTGCCTCAGCCTCCCGAGTAGCTGGAGCTACAGGTGTACGCCACCACGCCCGGCTAATTTTTGTATTTTAGTAGAGACGAGGTTTTACTGTGTTGCCCAGGCTGGTCTCGAACTCCTGAGCTCAGGCAATTTACTCGCCTAGGCCTCCTAAAATGCTAGGATTACAGGCGTAAGCCACTGCGCCTGGCCTAAATCTACTATCTTCTTAATGAGCTTTGGGCCGCAGAGCCCGTAGGCTATACTTCGGTGTCCTTTTTGCCCTTCAAAGAACAGGAAGCTGATATTCCACATATGCATCAGCCAGGTTGGTGGGTTGGTGGGTTGGGCTGCAGGAAGCTTGGGGAGACTCCAGGTTACCTCTCCAGAAATTCCTAAAGGACTGCATGAAGAGAAAGGGGAGAGAACCATGAAGCTACGTTTCAAAACAGCCCAAGAAAGCAAGCTCTCCACCCCAACAGGCCAAAGATCTCAACCTCACACCTAACTCAGAAGGGTTAACACTCAAAGCAATGTAAAAATGAAAGGATTTTTCCCCTTCACGAGTCTAGCAAAACCGCAGCAACAAAAAATGCTTCTGTGTTCTAGGTAGTAAGCAGCAAGTTTGCTGCCACTGGGGATATAAAGGCAGTGTCCTCAAGCAGGGTGTCAAAAACCACATGCTCCTGTCCCAGAATGATAGCCCAGGTTCTCAGGAGCCCATCTGTGCTTTTCCTCTCTGTTTTTCTCCCAGAAATATATCCATAAGTTAATCAGACTCCCCAGGTGCGCTGGAGTCACCAGCCACCTCAGAGGGCCAAGCTGGCCCACAGGGATGCTTTAAAACCTACTTTACAAAAGGAAGAAAAAATTCTCTTCCACTCCCAGACTGATAAGAAACTAATGAAAAGGAATAGAAACATTACCAAGAAGTGACAACACATTCCATTTAAAAAGAATCCTCAAGTGCAGTAAACACTCCATTACACATATATGACTTCACTATTTAACAAGTTTTCCACCCAATTTGGCATCACAGGGTGACATTCCCCCCACCTCTCTGCCCACAAATGTTTCAAGGTATCTCAGAACCTGTCAGTAGTCCATGAGGATTCAGGAAATGCTGATGCATTTTAATATCAGCCAAAACAAGCACAATATGTGTAAGCCTGCTACTCTCCTCCCCTGCCCACCCCCACTCTCTCTTTTTATGCCTCCTCCTCACATACACAGAGGCGCACAGGAGCACACAGGCACATACAATTCCAAAGTGAATTCTTCATGATTTGGGGTGTTTTCCAGAGCTAGGGGTTATCCATATTCCTGTTCCTCTAGAGCCTTCACTGTGGCCCATTCTGTTATCTTGATCAAGGAAGCAGCAGTCTTGACATCTCACCCTGTGCTTTTGTTAGAAACAGAAAAACAGCAGGAATTTCACAGGATTGGACCAGACTCTCAGCGGTGCAAATCTGGGACGTGTTAGAGACGTGAAAACAGCTCCACATTTGCATGGCGCCTTCCTTTCTCCGAGCTCAGGATGAGCAAGAGACTTTTCAGTGGGGGACTCACTAGCAAGACAGGGTCTCATCCAGCCCATCAGCCAGGCCTCTGCGCCTGACCGACTCCTCCTGACCACAAAAGGCCTCCCTGGCCTTCTGCAGGCAGATTGGACCCCATCCCTTCAGCATTCCTGACTCCACAGTTCCAGGCTAAATTCCCAGTTTATAATCCAGTCTCCATTTGTTTCCCCTCTCCACAAAATTTTAAATGAGAAATGTGTTGCTCTTCATTTCCTGTCTCACCCTCTCCACCGGTTTTTAAAGTCTGCCACTTCCCCCATCCCCCAACCCCAGAAGCAGATGTCCTTCAGTGCCCCAAAAGTGCCATGCCAAGTGGCTGCATGAACTCTAGTTGGTGTCCTGAGCTGACAACACGGGCAGGGAGCTTCAGGATCTGTCTGATTCAGAGTGGTCTAGCTGGCCAAGATGTAATCTGCTGGATCCGGGCTCATGTTGAGCTCTCCACTGGAGGCTCCTTGTGCAACTGGCCCTACTCCCCAGTCCACCCTTGCACCTATTTCCTCCCTTCCCTTAGGAATCATATCTTCAGGCCTCTGATGTTCTGTGCTAAGGAAGGGACAGGCATCATTCCCCTGTTCCCAAATTTGCTCATCGCAAGCAGCAGGGGAGATGGAGATGTTACGCCCCTGTTTGTGGGAGATGAATGCACACACACACAGCTTGGTTCTCTACCCTTGGAAGGCAGGGTTCTTTATTCCCACTTCCCAAAGGAAGTGGCTATTTCAAAACCAGCTTAGGGGATATGAAGATAGCCGACCATTCTTGTTGTCCAAAAAGAGAGCAAGATTATCCAGAAGGTGAGAGGCCATCTGTGGTTGGTTTGAATACGTTCTTTAAGTTTTACATTGAAGCTGATTCTTTTCCCATACCATTTCCATAATGTTTGTCTTCTTTCTTTTTCCACAAAACACTGTCCTCCTACCCCTCACCGTTTGGGTCTCTCAAGGCTTATTAAATTAACTTGAGAGTAAAAAACACAGAACTCACCCCCAAGCACACTATTAGTGCCCAATAACCTGAATCCTGAAACAAAACTGTGAAGTTCAGATTTTCTCCAACGCTCACCCCACCCCTCATCCTCATACTTCGCCAGTCTATCTCCCCATCTCGGCGTCCTCCTGAGCCTTCCCGGCAGCCTTGGGCAAGCCGCAGAGGCACTACCCACACCTTCCCTTTCTGAGCTATCCCTTACGCTCTAAGTTCACCTCTTACCCTAATGCTTAATCTCGCAAACTAGTTCAAACCCATGTGTTAATGGGTGATAATGGGAAATAATAAGAACAATTTCTACATGTATTGAATGAAATACTTTTCAAAGCCTCTTCAAGGCTTTTACATTAATCATTTTATTTAGTAATGTTATTACATTGACCCATCAGTCAGACAGGTACTTAGGCTACAATTTTCTTCTCCATTTTGTGGGTGAGGAAACTAAATTTCTTAGAGTGTATTTGTATGGCGCAAAATCACAGAGCAAGAAGGGTGGAGAGCTGAGATCAGACCGTAGCTTTTCTGGAGCCTGGTTCCCATACTGCGGCTGGATGGTTACTCTTTGCAGCCTGTGTGTCTTCTTTTGAAAGAGAATAGCTGGAATAGGCAATGCCTTAATTGTCTCACAAAGTAGAGACATGCTAGAACCATTTGGGATACTTGTTCATAGTGCACATTCATGGGAACCACCCCAGACCTACCAAATCTGAATCTCTGAGAGTGGCCTCCGCCCAGAAACCTGCAAATTAACATATTTCTAGGATGATTCCTATGCACACTTATGTCTGAGAACCTTTTCCTTAAGTCAAAGAACTAGATTTCTAATGGTGAAATTTTAGACTTCGAAGAAAGAAATAGTAAAATCTACGTGAGAAACAAACTGTCGTGTTTAATGCCATTCATACTTTCTGAGGGCTCACCTACTATGTGTCTGCTCCTTCACCCTGGAGCTGCCAGGCTCTGTCTAAGTATTGTTTCCACAACTCCTACCCCACTCCAAGGCTATTTCTATCCAACCAGGAGCACCCACCTGCAATTTGGAGGAGGGGTCTTGTCCTATGCTTCTTTCTGTTTCATGTCCTCAGTCTCCATGTTCTGTTTTGCTGGATGTTGCTAAACATAAACCCAAAAAGGAGAAGAAAGTATAAAAGGGTATGAAGAAAACACACTCTTCTTCCTTTCAGAACATTTTTCTCTCACTATCTTGCAAGAATAATACATTATTACCATAGACCAAATCCCCACTGTGACTATGTCCAGGTACAATTCAAAAACATCTGGATAACTGATTGACTTCTTCTCTTTTCATTTGAATGTACACCATTGTGTACAACCAGCCTGTGAGTTCCCCTGTGGGAAATGCTGAGGATGTGAATCCATCCCTTGTCTCTTTAATTAAAGTTGCAAAAACATCAGGAGGGTCTCAGCCTTGCAAACACTGAGAGCCTTTCCTGGAAATAGCTCTGCCTTTTGTATTAACAGATGTCATGGGGCAGTTGGGTCAGAGAGTGTTGTTTTAAAATTCTCAATCAACCTTGCAAGAGGTTTTTCATTAGACAGTTCCTGGATAGCACCCCACCCTTTTCTGTTTTCAACTTGCACATCACTTCGTGTAGCTTTTCTCCTCTGATTCATCTTGAATGTTTGTCATGTGAACCAGAAATCACCCAAAGGCCAGCTCCTCAGATCTGTGATGGCCATGACATGCCGTCAGTTGATTTCCCTGGATTGGGCCGCATTTGCCTCCTGAAACTGAGAGTGAGCAGCTTTGTGATTATGCAATATTAGGCACATCTGCCTGACTTCAAACATCTGGCTGAAAAGTGGAAAATGCTTTTAAAAAGTTAAGATGCTTAACATCATGGTGACAAAGTTCTAGATACTGGACAGAATTTTTTTAAATCAGCTCCGTTTTAGGTTGTTGGTTTCAATGCCTCTTTGCATGTTGTTTTGTTGACATCAAGCAGCCTTTCAGGCATGAATTCTTCTGTCCCAAGGAAAGGAAGCAAGCTTCTAGAAGGGAAGCACTGCGTGCCTTCACCCAGATAGGGGACTGAGTCAGCAAGGAGAACTAAGAGGAAAAGAACACTTCACAGACGTAGAGGAGTGAAAAGACTGAATGCACAGGAGAGTAGAGCCAGAGATTGTGGAATCCTGAAGATAAGCAAGTCTGTGTTTGGCGATGGCCTAGCAATTAGACCCAAGATTTGACAACAACAGCTAAAGAGAAACAGAGATAAGTCAGTGGAGCTGACTCCCTCAAGAAATTGAGCTGGGAGTGCAGGAGTGGGTCCGAGTGGACGCCAACATCCCTGAGATGATCACAGCATCTCGGCATGTGCTCAAATCATGGAGAACAGCCACAGATTGTCCACACTGGAGTCACGTTATAAATGCAGTGAGGCAATAAATGGTGCAAGTATGAAAGAGTTGGCTTCCAAAGTGGGCTGTGCTCAGAAGCAGAGTAGATACAAGGATTATCCCAGCCCAGCTCATCATTTGGGCATGCACAGGGAGAGAAGTGGTGCCCCCAGGACTTCCTCATCCTCCTCCACATTACTCCCAGCCAATCCTGCTCCCTCATCCCATTGCCTGAGAGGTTCTGGCAAGGCTGTCAATCCTTGTCCTTGTGCTACAGGATCAGTCTCTGTGTGCTGGCTGCAGAAACATTCCAGGGCCTATAGCTCTGTTTAATCAGCATACAGCAGAAGGTGAGAGGGGACAGAAGTGAGAGTCCACCCAAGGAGAGCACCACAGGAGGAGAGATTGGCCCCCATGGAAATGGACTCTGAACCTCTGACATCTTGGAGCCAAAGTCAAGTAGCAGTGGAGGAATCAGCTCAGAGAGAGAAACAGTGCTCAGGCAAAAAGAAACCCTTGGATTCACACTACTCTTGGAAGTGGGTCTCCAAAAGTCAAGGCTGAGTGTAACATGACTGATACCTGACAAGTCAGTATCATGGGGAGTGGCAGAAAGAGCACTGGGCTGAGAGTCTGAAAACTGAATTCTTGATCTGACCATCACAAATTTCTTGTGTGACCCTAGGCAAATCAGTTAATGTCTTTGGGGCTTAGTTTCCTCATCTGTAAGTGAAAGGGGTTAGGTGGGCAATCTATATGGCTTTCTTCAGCTCTGACTTCCAATCCCATCTGGTTCAGGGAGGAGGGAGGTGAGGGAAGTGCAGAGGCACTAGATGATGGGGTATTGCTGCCAAAATCACCCTTTCCCCCTCCCCTGTCCTACTCTCTCATGGACATGCCCTTTATTATCTTGTTGTTGTTGATGTAGTGTGTTTTTCCCACAGAACTCTGTGGGATAGGACAGCAGAGCACAGACAGGGCAGATAGGAAAGGAGGGTGTGAGCGGGAAAGGGGAGAAAGGGCCTTTCCAGCATTTCCCAAGCCCCTGTTCTCCAGGCCACAGGCTGAGCAAGTGTGCCTTCCAGACTGGGAATCCGAGAAGGCCAAGGACCCTCAGCTTTCCCCTCCCCCAAACTCTGCACCCTTTCACCAGTGCTCCCCGTTCCACACCAAGGCACCGATCACTGTTCTCTGCCACATCCTACTCTCTCCAGACTTCTTTGGGACGCTGACTCCTTCCTATATGGCCAAGAAGTGAAGTTGGTAGGATCTGTAAAACACAGTATACTTCTGATATTAGAGAGTTTTTGCTACAGAATGAAATATCTCAAATCAGCGATTTATAGCAACAACTATTTTATTTGCTTCAATTCTGAGTCACTTAGGTGGTTCTGGTCTGGAATGACTTGGCTGTGGCTACATGGTCTAGGATAGAGCTGTCCAATAGAAATATGATACAGACCACATACGTGTTCAAAATTTTCAAGTAGCCACATTTTTAAATCAAAAGAAACTAGTAAAGTTAATTTTAATATTTTAAAATTTAACCTGATATACTCACAATATTATTATTTCAGTATATAATTTACAGAAAAATTATTAATGAAATATTTGGCATTTGTTTTATCATACAAATTTTCAAAAGCCAGTGCGCATTTTAAAAAATACATACAGTACATCTGCACATGGACTACCCATGTTTTAAATGTTTAGTAGCCACCATATTGTCACTCAGGACCTCACTCACGTCTGAGGTCTCTCAGTTGGGATGACTGGCACGGCTGGGATGGCTGAAGCCTCTTGTCATACAGCCTCTTATCCTGTAGGTTTGTTCTCCCATCAAGCTTTTATCAGTGCAGGTTTGTTCACATGGTGGGAGAAGAACTCCCAGCAGCAAGATAGTCCCAATGCAAAAGTGCTTTTTAAATCTGTTTCATGTTTGCTAAAGCTCCATTGGCCAAAGCAAGTCACATGACCAAGCCCCGGCATCTGTGTGAGAGGGATCTCCCTGAGGCTGTGGTTACCTGGAGGTAACAAAGAGAAGGTCATTTCTCCTGGTCCCCCAGGGCCGGGGAAAGCACCCACCATCACCAATCCCCTCCTCTCTCCATCATAGCAAAGTTCAAAACAGAGAAAAACACAGAAAAGGAAAATTTAAATAATCTGTTAACTCCATCTCCGACAGATAACTACTGTCAACTTTTGGTTATCTCTCCACTATTTTTTCCGTACATGCATACATAGGCATTTTACAAATTTGCAATCAAATTATACAATACTCACTATTTGCATTTTACAGCATATCCTAACATGTTTCCATGTTATTAAAAATTCTTCTCAGACATGAATTTTAAGTTTATAACATTCTATTGTATAAATGTACCACAGTTTATTTAAATAATCCCTTATTGCTGAATGGCTGTTTCTCATTTTTCACACTTCTAAGTAATAAGGAAATGAACAATACTAGTTCACATATCCTCCATTCATTCGTGCCTATTTGTGAAGAATGGATTTCTAGAAATAGAATTTCTAGGTCAAAACTATTGCATACTTCATGGTGTCAGATTCATTTTCTCATTCAACAAATACTTACTAATCATCTATAATGTCCAGGCACTCTTAAAGGTGCTAGGGATGCAGAAGTGAAAAAAGCAGACAAAATCCCACCCTCACAGAGGAGCTTCCATTCAGCTCCCTTCAGTAAAGGGAGGTTGCAATAAGCAAAGAAGTAGTATATTATCTAGTGGGTTTGAGACTGATAAATGCTATGGGGGAAAGCAGGTAGGGAATGCGGATGGGGAGGACCAAGTAGGGGGAGAACTACAAATGTAACTAAGGTTGCCAGGATAGGCTCACTCACATGACATTTGCTTAAAATATATGCTCAGTCTCTTCCTTCAGGGTATGTAACATTAGGGAAGGGCAGGACCAGTGGGGCAAAGCACTCAAAATGTGACCAGAAAGGCCAGAGTCCAACACATCTCTGTCATTGTTCTTCCATGAGTCATACTATTTGCCTTCACCTGTACATGCCTGTAAAGTTTTAGCCAGACCTCAGGCTGTCAAGCCGAGGGTCCGTGGGGGAGAGCTCCCACATTGCTAGCCCCAGAGGTACACACACAATGGTACCCATATAACTCTGGATGACAAACACAGTGAGGGAGATGTTGTGGGGGCAGTAGGGTCTTTGAGAATTTTTCCCATAGGCCAACTCTCAGTCTCCTAGGAGTAAACTCAGCTCTTTAGTCAAATGTTCCTTCTGATTGGCCAGAAATCCCCCAGCAGCTGCAATCAGTTCCTTTTCCTTTTCAGAAAGCTCAAACCACGAATACAGAACCTCTTCTACAATCATATCAAAGTGTTTGGAAACACTGAACATTGAGTATATGTCGAATAAATGCATGAAGATTAAAGAAATGAGTAAATTATTTGAATTAATTAAAGAAACACTTTTATTTAAGGGAGGTGAAGAAGGCTTCACTAGTCACACAGCAAGCCCTTGACATCATGGAGACAGAGTGAGAGACAGATGATAGCGGTCCCGTGAAAAGAGACCTGAGGTCTAACTGTAACTCTCTCATGAACTAGGTTTGTGTCTTTGAACACAATATTAATCTCTGAAATTGTCACCTTTTTTCTGGACATATAACATAGAACAGTGTACATCTCTACCCCTGAGGACTGGGTCATAGAAAACACCTAGAAAAATCTCCCAGAAACCATTCTTTGCAGCTACCCACAAAAGCTTTCATATGATATGCCTATTATGTGTCATGCATTGATCTAGGTATTGGGGAAAACTGTTCTGGGTGTTGGAGATAAATAAGAAAAGTCAGTCCAAATCTACATTCTACAGGGGGAAGTAAATATATAAGTGTATGAATACAACCAGGTATCAGTATGTACCATAAAGAAAAATTAGGAAAATGGTGATGATGTCATAGAAAATAACTGAGTTTTCCTTTAAGTTGGGTGATCAGGAAAGCCTTCTCTGAGGAAGTGACACTTAAGATCTAATGCCAAGCAGGAGCCAGGCATACAACAATCAGAGACAAGGGGAGTAACACCAGTCTTGCAGCAGGAATGATATTGGCTTGGCATGTTCAAGAAACAGAGAGGATGCCAGCAAGCTGGCATGTTGGGGAATGTGAGATTGGTGTGAGATGAGGGATAGAATAAGGAAGTCATGCAGGAGTTATGATTTTAACCTAAAAGCCATTGAAGGGTCAAGCCACTGAAGAACTTTAAGTAAGAATTTGCATTGTTATTTGATTTGTGTATGGAAAATGAAGAAGGGATTGAAGGAAAGAGTAAAAATAGAAGAATCAGAGAACAGGCTACTACTGCTCTTCTATAGTGATCTTGGTAAGAGACAGAAGAAGGGTTAGAGCAGAGCAGGAGTGGTAGAGAAGAAAGAAGTACACTGATTTTGTTGTATTTTTCAGTAGGATTTCTCATGGATGAGACTTTGGCTTGGGCTAGTGGGTAGATAACAGGGTGATTTACAGAAATAGAGAAAACTATGGGAGTCGCTGACTTGGAGGTAAACCTCAAAATATTTGTTTTGTCTTTGTCAACTTGGAGAAGCATACTAGCTATCCAAGGGAGATGTTGAGTAGACAGTTGGAAATTAGTCCATAATTTCAGGTAGAGGTTAGGTTTGCAAGGCACAGTTCTAAGGTGGTAGGATATGGCCATGATTCAGTGTGATCACTTATTAACTCCTCTCATTAAGTTGTCATAAAAAAAAGAATAAGTGGTTATAAGAACAGTAAGGAACACTAACTCAGCTTCATAAAACCAGAATAATCTGCCACTTTCTGAGCAAGCTGCTTCCCCCTCTCTGATCTTCATTTTGTTTGTCTGTGAAATGGAATTCGTGGTATTATCTACCAAGAAGCATTGTCCTGAAGCTCAAAGGAGCCAAAATTTGCAAAAGTGCCTGCATAGGGAGGTATCTAACACAATGTAGACCTTTTTCTCTTTTTTTTTTTTTTTTTTTTTTTTTTTTGAGGCAGTCTCGCTCTGTCACCCAAGCTGAAGTGCAGTGGTGTAGTCTCAGCTCACTGCAACCTCCACCTCCTGGGTTCAAGCGATTCTCCTGCCTGAAGGTCCTGAGTAGCTGGGACTACAGGTGCACGCCACCACACCCGGCTAATTTTTGTATTTTTAGTCGAGACAGGGTTTCACTATGTTGGCCAGGCTGATCTTGAACTCCTGACCTCATGATCTGCCCAACTTGGCCTCCCAAAGTGCTGGGATTACAGGTGTGAGCCAGTGGGCCTAGCCAGCCTTTTTCAATAAATGGTAGAGTATTCAATCTGAAAGCCTTCTAGAAAATGCAAAGAATAATGTGGGGACCACCCTCAGCAGCAGTCTTCTCCATGCCTCATGGACCTTTCCTTGGCAGCTTTGGTAAAGGCAAAATCACAGTGCAGAGCTTCATTTGAATCTGAAACCAGCTGCTTTGGGGGGGAAAATGGTGATAAATTTCTTGACAGCCGCGCTATTAGTCAGCCGATAACATATTTTTCACATTTAAACTTGAGCCAAGTGAGCAAAAGTAAAAATGCATTCTACAAATATTATTATTCCTTCTGGATGAATTTTTTTTTTTTTTTTTTAAGGAAGTGTCTGCAAGGAGCCTATTTTGGGGGTTGGCTTGAGTTGTTTTCATGGCTAAGATCCAGGGAGGTTCATAGTAAGGGTTGCTCAATCTGCAGATAGTAGTTTTGTGGGTTATTTGTTGCCACTTTTAAGTGCCTAAAAGACCTCTTATTCCCATATCTTCCTAATTCAAAAGGAAGCTGCAGGACTCCTGACCACTAATAGTGAGTGCAGATCCTCCAAAATCAAAGGGTTGAAGAGGGAAGGGGGAAGGGCTATTACTTCATTCCATGGTCATCTGTTCCTTTCTCATGTCAGTGGCAATTCCAAACTGGACCTGCTCCAGGATCCTGGTGGGAAAATCTGTAGACGGACTACCACAGCAAACAGTACCCTTGGGGAATGTACTTGTGGTGCTTCTGTCATAAAGGGGCCATTTGCACTCAAGAGGTTTCCACAGAGGACATCATCCCAGCATGGTGTGTCATAAAGAGGGCACAGGGCCTGCAGTGAGCCACTGGGGTCCCCCATGCTTAGGTGGAAGGAGGGGCCAGCAGGGCTCGGAGCAACCTGTAAACAGAAGACTGTGAATTGGCCAGCTCTGAGTGGGCACTAAATTCTGGGTGGGTAAATTAAGCCTTCATATGTCACAGGACTGGCTCTGCCTGGCAGGGTTTGGCAGTTCCCAAACCCTCATCCTGAAGTTGTTGGGAACACTAAAATCTCCCTGGAGCTTCTGTCTGAATGATGAGAGCTTCCCCTGGAGACTTTAAAAATAGTTTGTTAGGCTGGAAGGTGCATCTCGCTGTGGCAGCAAGTAGAATAATGAGGAATAGGCAGAAATCCAGGAACCAAATCAAAGCCGAGGGGAGCTGAGTCTCAGAGATGTGTACTCACCTGTGTGCTCCATTAAATCATAAATCCAGAGAGCAGATTGCATCTGGATTGCTGCCTCTAGGGAATTTTGGGCACATACATGAAGCTCAATACATATTTGTTGAATGACTGAATGAAGACTCCTCAAAGAAACTTAGTGTTAGATGACAGATCTCTTCCTTTCATTTTACCCAACTTCTTGACATTCCCTGAGGTCAAAGAGGCTCTTCCAGGGCAACATACATTGTAGAAAGGTAAGGTGAGGAATTCCAAGTGAGGAATTTCTTTTCCTTCCGGCATGTGATTAGGTCAGGACCAATCACCATTCACAGGACTGCATACACAGTAAGACTGCACTTTTGACAGGATATTGGTGAAAGCAAGGGGAAGTTGAGGAGGATCTGCTTTATCAGGATGAAGCATGTATACAACACAAATGACTCAGTTGTATATATGTGTCAATCATTGTATACAACACAGATGACTCAGTTGTATACATGTGTCAATCGTTATGAATGCATAATACCATTAGCACAATGGTCTTTACTAATAGATTATGGACACATGTCTTTGTAGTAAAACAAGCATGGGAGCAAGACACCAAATTTAGAAAAATTATTATCTTTGGGGAGGAGAGGAATTGGAAGATGCACTCAGAAGTTTTCGATTGAACCTGAAATATTTTATCTTTTGTGCGAGCTACTAGGTACACAGGAGTTTGTTATATTATTATTTATACTTTTGGTTTACCGATAATATATCACAATAAAAAAGTTTAATACTACGTTTAATGTCTATGAATAACCCAAAACAACAGATAACCCTGAGCATATCTGCTTGGATCTGGAACATGCCATTTGATTTCAAAGGGAAGAGGAAGGGAAAGTAAAAGGTTCGACTTGCTTTTTCTTTTTTTTTTTTTTTTTTTTTTTTTTTTTTTTTTTTTGGGCTGAGTCTTGCTCTGTCACCCCAGGCTGGAGTGCAGTGGTACGATCTGAGACTGAGTCTTGCTCTGTCACCCAGGCTGGAGTGCAGTGGTGCGATCTTGGCTGTGATTCTCCTGCCTCAGCCTCCTGAATAGCTGGGATTACAAGCTCATTTTTATATTTTTGGTAGAGACAGGGTTCCTCCATGTTGGTCAGGCTGGTCTCAAATTCCTGACCTGAGGTGATCCACCCACCTCGGTCTTCCAAAGTGCTGGGATTACGGGCACGAGCCACAGTGCCTAGCCAACTTTCTGATTATTATATTTATTGTTATCAACATATATTGAGTGCTTGCTGTGTGCCAGGCATATAGTACATAGTCACTAAGGATGTTCCATGCATTATTATCATTGTAAGTGAGGATGCTAAAGCTCAGAGAAGTTAAGGAACTTGCCAACCTTACATGACCAGTAAGTAGGGAACTTGGAATTCAAATCCAGATCCATTTGCCTGAGTGGTCAGCAGTAAGAAGCTCTAAGCATGGGTAAAACTCCTGGGCAACTCAGCACCAATCCTAATTCACTGCTTGACACTGAGCAAGTCCCCGTCCACCCCCACCCTGTATCTGGGCTTTCTCTCAAGGCTGGATTATGGAGACAGTAATAATCAGCTACCACCTGCAAGGACTTTCTAGTTGAAAATGTGCAAATCTCTTTGTAGGCCTTGGACCAGACGAGTCACATACAGTTGTGTACAGTGAGACAAAGTAAAGGTCCCATGCATTGTCCCTCCCTTGGTGCCACCCCCTGCTACTTCCTCTCATGGTCACCTCTTTACTCAGCTTGACCCTCCCTGTTGACACTTCCACTGTCAACTCTGTGAAAGTGGGATAAGTTCAAAAATGGCTTCTTAATTAGGCCATTAGATTCCAGATCTAAAATGCGTTTTTTTCTTTTATTGTTTGTCTTTTATTTATGCTTAATATAACAAGTAACACGTGAATACATTTTTATGACAATAAAACTAAATTTTCCACTAAACACTATGCCAGGCTAACCTCCCCAGAGGTAACACTGTTTTCTGTTTGGTGCATATTCTAGTTTTTCTCCAGTCACTCACACATCCATGTATGTGTCTATAAAATATAGTGTGGAGAAATTTATAAAAGTTGTATTATACTATATCATGCTAGAACTTGGTTTGCCTTTTTTTAACTGTTTTTTAATCAAAGTTATACAAGCAAATAGTCAACTAGATCAAAGTTTATGAAGTCAAATGGCCGTCCCCAGCCTCCCTGCCCCCTGCATTTCTTTCTCCCTGCGTCAACCCCTTGCATTTCCTCTTGCTGGTTCTTTGGGTTCTTTGAGTATTTACTTCCTACCTCTTAAAATATTTGCTACGTTTTTCTCCAGTTTTAGGAATTATCAACTAAGTTTTCACAGTAAAAGGTGAAGTTTGGCTCTTCCCTTCCCCCCACCCCCTGCCCACTCTGCCACATACATTCTTCCCATCCCTTCAACCTCTCAATATACGTAGATCACAACTTTGATTAGAACAATATTTCATATGATGACTATTATGCAACTCACAGTTGAGTTTTATGGTAAGCTCTAATTAATTCCTTCCCTGCAGAACTTTTTGCTTTCTCTAGATTTAATAATTATCTTTTCCCCCATTTTCTTCTTTTCCTAACTATGATTAATTCAACAAACTCAGTACCAATTGTTTGCATTTTCTCTCAACATATTCAGATACTCCAGGTAATCTGTTAACTATATCTTCTAGAAGACGCCTGTCCTGGAGTTTTCTCATCTGCTACTATCTGATTTTTTTTTTTTTTCTCCTCCAGGTGCACATCTCTCATCACAGGATCTCCCTTAACCATCATCCTGAGAATTCTCACTTCTCTCCTGTATTGGGTCTCCTACTTCCTGGATCCTTTGTCTTCCTCTTGCTTGATTTTCTGTCTCACTTAATGGAACACATTCTGTGGTAGGTTCCTGAGAAAAGGTACATGGAAAGCAAGTTGAGACCTTCAATGTCTGAAAAGGGGTTTACTCTGCACTGACCCTTGATTGATAGTTTGGCTGGGTATAGACTTCCAGGTATAAGTTGATTACATTGAAAATGTTTAAAGCATTACTCCATTTTTTCTCATTTCCAGTGTTGCTATTGAGAAATCCAAAGCCTTTTTGCTTCGTGATCTTTTGTGTATGAACAGTTTGTTTTTTTCTGAAAATGTATAGGATCTTCCCTTTATAACCAATATTGGTAGGCAAAACATTAAGTATTGCATGTGCCCCTCTGGGTTTTCCAGCTTCTCCCATAGTTAGGTTGGAGCCATGTTCTTGCAAGTGGCCTGGGAGCAGAAGTGACAGATGTCAACTCCAAGCTAAGGAAGCTAAAAGCCAGTGTGCCTCCTTCAACCCTATTTTCTCCTGCCACAGGTACTTCAAGGGACACATGATTCAAGTGACATGTTTACAAGGTGAAGTGGAACCACCTGAAAGATATTAGACCAAGCCCATCCAACTCACAGCCCATGGGCCGCATGCAGCCCATGACAGCTTTGAATGCGAACCAACACAAA